ATTGAAACAAAACATAGAAAAAATTTTAAAAAAATTATTTAAATAAGTAACTTACTAATGAAAATTTTCTTATTTAAAAAAAAAAACTTATTTACTTATAAGTGCTTGCTCTTTAATCTTTATAGCTGGGATTAGCTCAGCGACAAAGACGGTTTGTTCAGGGTACAATAATAAGGACCCAAGATGATATTTCTTGAAAATCTTTTAGGGTCCATGGAAAGGTTATATCAATTAATGATGTCATAAATTAGACACTTTATGTCAATTATGATGAGTAGTTGAATATTAGTGTTAGGGCGAAAGGTAGATAATTAATGATGTCATAATTTAAACAAATTATTACCTACACTATAATTATTTTTCAATTATAACCAGTAGTGTTTTATTCATCGTCTGGTTGAGTTCTATGTTTGACTAAGAATGCATTTTGAAATAGTAAATTGATAGATAATGTGTAGTTAAACAATAAGAATTTTTTTATTTGTGAGTAATATTATTTTATTGAAAAATATATTGTTGTAAAAGAAGATAGAGAAAAATGTATAATTTTGAAATAGTAGATTGATGAAAAATATGTGGTTAAAAAATAAGAAATTTTTTTGTGATTGTGTCTAATATTATTTTATTGAAGAATATGTGGTTGAAAAGAAGAGAGAGAAAAATGTATTTTGAAAATAATGGAAATCAAACAAGGGCTTAATAAATAATTTTCCTTGATCAAATATAAATCGCAACATACATTAAATCTACTAGTAATACATGCGGCATTGAATCCATTCCATTTTGACATTTACAATAAGACAATCCATCGATAACGCTTTTAATAATATTCAAAAAGAAAAAGAAATAAAATTACTTTTTATTATTCTATATAGTATTCTCCCATAATGGTACACAACAAACTTTTAAGGCACGTCTGATGTGCCGTATTTAATCTTTGAATTAAGCCATTCGTACAAAATGATTTGTACAGAATATTCACATGGGGTGTGGGTCCCATGTGAGTAAAACACCTTGTGTCTTAGTCTGTACAAATCTGTACGAATAGCATAACTCTTAATCTTTACCCGGCACTTGATGCAAGCAAGATTTCTTGGAAGGTCTTCATTGCAGAGGCTGGTAATCCCACAATCACATTAATGCCACCTTTCCTTTCTTTTCCATGAGATGCGAACACAATAACTTCCTTATCAGGCAAGCCTAGAGGCCCTGACACAACAGGTTCTCCCCAACCAAAATCGATAGTATGGAAAGATAGCTTGGACCAGGTCGTAATCAGTAGGGTTCCGGACATAGATGGCCTGGCTCGAGTTACCTCAAAATAGTCTATGGCAGATCTCATGTAACGGCCTGCAAGAAAATTAAGAATTATAATTTGTTTCAATTCGAACAACAGAAATTACTTAGATATAAAGAATTTAGAACTGGAGTTAAATGACTGAAATGAAACTTCGGTACAAGTAGACAGACAAACTAAGGCTTTTACCCTAGAAATCCAGTATTAAGAACAAGAAAGATAGTAGCCAAGTTCTAGACTATCAACGGTAAAGGAAATTAAGGGCCGTTTGGCATAGCATTTGAAAAGTCAAAATGAAGCTGGTCAAATATAACTTCATCTAAAATCATTTTCGGAATAGGAAGTGTTTTAAAAATTAGTTTTCAAATAAAAATTAAAATAACTTTCTCCAAAATCTCTTTCACAATAAACAAAAGTTATGTTAAACGGGCCCTAAATGTTGTCTGTAATAGTCAAGATTACCTGTGACCATTTTAACTGCATCGGAGACTAGTTTCACTGCAAATGAAAGAGGATTTTTCACTAGATCACCTGCACTACAGATTGAATATGTTAACACCATTCCATTGCCAAAGAATCCCCCTGGGAGTGGTGGATCAAATCTCGACCGGCCATCAACTGCGAAAAGGAGTTTCGTCTGTTGATCAGGCTTCAGTTTTAATGCCTGACTACGAGATTTCCAAACAAAAGCCGTAAGAGCTTCAAATCTGGTGCATTTATGAAGATTTCCATCCTCCAAGGCTTTCTTTCTGAGATTCTCAAGCTTTTCGGGGTCAAAATGAAAGGATTTGCAAATGATTTCTTGTTTGTAAAGTTGAGAGGTGTTTGATATATCTTGAATATCAGAAAATTCATGGTGGGGGAATTCAATCTGGGGTGGATTTCTTGCTCTGAGAATAGTTCTGTCAAGAAATGGAAGGACTTTAACAGGCAAATTCCTAGCAGTTTCACCCCAAGAATTTAAAAAATCCATTGCACCAATTCCATCAAGCATACAATGGTTCATACACATCCCTATAACAAAACCTCCGCATTTGAACTTCGTCACCTGAAAAAAACCATTACGGCAATAAGGATGAGATTAGAAAAATAAAGGGGACCCTGGTACACTATACTAATGAAATGAAACAAATCGAGAACCCACTCCATACTATGCCCTTGTTTGGTTTGAATTAAAATTTCGAGTCAAAGTTAACAATTGATTTTTACCACATATTTTATAAGACACATGACTTTTTAACCACACATTTCACCAATTTCTATCAAAATTTACCAAAAATCTAATTTTAATATCTAACAAACAGAGACTAAATGAATGGCCCAAAGCAGTGGTGGGGTCAGGATTTTAAGCCGTTGACGAAAAACGTTAAAGGGTCAAAAATATGTCTTATGTTATAAAAATTCGAAATTTCTACATAGAATTTAAAAATGTTGCCGGGGGCGGTTGCCAATCCCGGCTCCCTCTAGGTTTGCCTCTGTTCTAAAGTAGAGAGAGTTATTTTGGCAACCGCGTGATTCTAGCTGGGAGGAATTTTAAAGAAAGCAACTTACTTGAGCCACCATGGGAGGAATTTCCAGTATATTTTCAGCACCAGGAATATCATAAACAAGCTGCCGAAGCATCCCATTATCAGGCTTCGTAATATCACCTAAATCTTCAAGTTTACAATCCGCTTCGGCCGCCACAAACACTGCCCCTTCGGCCGTGCAATCCACAGCAAGTTTCTTATCCGGACTGATCGTCAGCCGCCCTGCAAGCGGGTAGAAATGCACAAGAACTCTAGACAGGGCGTCCTTGATTATTTCTACAGCATTCTCATTGCCTTCCTCTTCGGATTTGAAGCCGTAAACTGTTCGCATTGTGACAGCAATGTTTTGATCCAAGTTGCAGAGGAAATATAGGCCGGTCGGGGTTTTCTCGGCTGGAGGAACAAGAATTGTCTGCCCTTTATTGACAACGAATTCAAACACTTGGCTATTGCTTGATATTTCCATCGAGTAATGTATACCCGTCAAGAACTCCGTCTAAAAACTGAGTACTCAATGGTTTGATTAGTATCTCACTCAAAAGGAAAATTGTTTAAAACTGAGTAATTAAACTCGAACGGATTGAATATCTTAGTCGAGAAGAAACCAACCCAAACTGAGTACCGAAACTTGCCTACGTTTGTGAAAAAGATGGAGGAGCTTTTCTGTATGTTTCCCAAATGCAAAAAGTGTTACCTTTTGATCATAAAAACTGTGGCATTTGATGCATATATATAGAATATGAAGTCATAAAGGATTCTGGACGTGTCTTCCTCTAGGTTTTCAAAGATTGGTCGTCATCATTTGTGTGTTCATGACCTTTTGCCTTATCATTTGGTTCAATTATGTTCTTATCAATTATGTGAAATTAAAGATAAATTTGTAAATGTGGTTAAAAGACCATAAAACTTTTGCTCGATCTATTGAGAATTGAAAATTTGGATTAGTATAACATCGAAAGTCGTAGATTTTAATAGAATATCATGTATACTCCATACAATACTTTTTAATTAAATTGAATACCAGGAACAAATTAAAATTATGTAAAAAATGATAGTTAATCATAGTGAAAAATCAAAATTGGAGTAGTGCTTAAACGATATTTTGTCATCTGAAAAATAATCTGGTTGGATTTGAAAATTAAATTGAAACAGAGACAATTTTCCCAACATCTTCACATGAATAAAATAATAAATAAAATGTTTCATCCCCTCCAGAAAGAAATAAAATTAATTAGCGTCACACATTTTCATCTCTAATCTACGTCATGACTTGGACTGTATGATGTCATGTATTGTTGATTGAGGAGTATTAATTTGTAACTACTAGACGCTATGGTCCAACATCGATCAAAATATTTGACTATATTTTTCCATTCTTTTGTAATGAAGGTGGAAATTAATGTATCTTAGTTTGGGAAAATTGGAAGTGCACTCACGTCGAAGATGATACAAGAGCATAACGTATTTAACCATCTAAACCGAGATAATTAATGTAATATTATTGTCGTTGATTGGAGTTTTTACGAGTGTTTAAAATTGTGTTAAATAATTTGTTAGTCGCTGAGATTATAGCGATGCTCATTGTTAGGTGCAATAAGGTGATAAGTTCTAATCACAACATTGTTATGTTGAGGGAAGTATTGTTGGGGGTGCAACAAGATCGCTCTTAAACTCATCGGCAAATGATGAAGATTGAATGTCATATTGGATACCGATTGATTTTCATATATTGAAATTCGACCATAAATTTGCAAATGGTCCCTAACCTAATAAAACTAGTGAATTTTATACGTTATAGTTACTCAAATCAAATCTGACCACGCCAATTATTAGAGAGCTCAATGCGTATAATAAAATCTCATTTTTTTTCATAATTAGTGCTTGTTTAGGTTTATGTATTAGTTGATAAATTAAATGCAATGAAAATGAATGATAAATAAGTGGGTGATAGTGTGTGTTCTGCAAAATGTATGATTAAAATTAAAGTTTGACTAAATAACATTTAAATTAAGACACACTTAATTAGCCTCATTTTTCTCTATCTGATAGGGTCAAATAATGTCTCATTTGACTCTCCAAATAATGTTTCATTTATTATTGGCACAATTTTCTATTATTTTTTTTAATTTCTATATAAAATAAAAAAGAGGGAAAGTGACGAATAATAATTGCTTCTGGAAAAACAAAATAATGAAGAAATATAGAGTGTTGTTGAAGCTTGACTCTTTAAAGATATTTCAGATTTTCTAAGGATTCTCTTTAAATTAAAGATCGCTATTGGATATGTTATAAAGATATTACTACTATAATGAAAGGTGTTGAATACGGAAGTCTTGGCACAATTGAATAGCCAAAGCCAATTTGGGTCCTCAAGACGGCGAAAAACGATGACATAAATATTCAATACTTATCACATGCTACTCCCAATTGGAGCGTTTTGTGGGATTGGGTGGTTTCTTGGTAGGGTGTACGCTAAATTCTCAACAATGCATTCAATGACTTCATTTGAATAAGTTTGTTGAAGTCGAAATATACTTTGCTGCTTTCAAGTCAATGTCTTGCAATCATCCATACTCAAAATTCTACAAAAAATAAGAATTCCAGAAGTCTACATACTCAGATTATAATGGACAAAAGAGTCTTTATTTATTTTATTAAACACTACATGGACATGTTTAGTTTGCACGACTCAGCATCATAGCCAATACGCGTCTAGTTTACAAATTTAACCTAAGCAGACACAAAAATTTCCTTTAGGTTGATCTACACATGATGCATGCACTCTTGAACTTGTCCTTCAGGATTTTCTTGCATGCATCAATGCATGCAGGTAGTGTGCATGAATTCAGCTCAATTCCAAATGCACATTCCACACTGTCTGGGGCCAAAATTAGGAACCCAATTACCATTGCTACCACAACAATAACCCAATTCTTCAATGCCTTTGCTTTCATTGGGAGGAGTTTTGATAGTAACTGCACAATACATTGAAAGAGAATTTTATTTACTTTCCATAGGCAATATCAGGTACATATCTAAGATTGGACTAAAAAAAATCCACATAAATTTTTACATATTTAAAATTTTAATGTTTTGGGGATGGCCACGGGGCAGAGCAAGCATAAGAAATGAAAACGAACACGACCCTGCCATGGCTCAAGTTTACAAATTGAATCTGAGGCATGGATTATAAGAATACAGATGGATACATACAATTCCTTATAAGAAGGTCAAAATTACATAAATCTAATTGTATACATTTAATTCTCCATTGCATGTTGGATTTGGTATTAACGTGCTTTTAAGACTGCGTTGAAGAAAAAATAAGTTAATTGCTTAGTAAACAAAACTACTTTATTACTTTGCGTGAATAAAAGTACTAAAATGGATATTGATTACATTAAAATTTCCATATACACTATTATTATCATTGATTGTACTGTAAAATGTAGATACGTATTTATGACATATATTTTACTTAAATGTTTGTCTAATACTATGTATTATTTTGAAAGAAAAAAAATTAGTAATATCTATTGAATCTAAAAATTATAAAATTTGAAATAAAAGCATAGTGCACATAGTAACTAGACTATTAATAATATCTAGACACAAAATATATTGAAGTCAAATTTAATTAAACAATATCCTCTCTCTAACGTAATTAAAGTTTCAAACGAGTTGACTCAATAGTCATAAAACATATACCACGATGATAATTAATCGTGGTGAAAAAAAAAAATCAAAATTGATGTAGTGTTTATATGATATTTTGTCATCTGAAAAATAATCTGGTTGGATTTGAAAATTTTAGGGACTGTTCTCTCTATATCTTAGTTTTTAGTTTTGAATTCATTTTAGGTTTTGTATTTTGAGTTTTCATTTTGAGATTATTGAAAATGCGTTTTTTTGTCATTTTGAAAAATAAAAAAAATGAAGTTTTGGCTTAGTTTTAACTGAAAACAGCCAAAAAGACTTTTTGGCTTTTCCTATTTTCTTTGTAAATTTTAAACTCGTTTTTGGGAATTTATTTTTGAAAATAGGTAAGTAAACGTGTTTTTAGTTTTTTCGAAAATTGAAAACTGAAAATTGCCTGAAACAGCAAAGAGAATAGACCCTAAATTGAAGCAGAGACATTTTCTCCAACATCTTTATATGAATAAAATAATAAATAAATAAATAAAATGTTTCATCCCCTCCGGAAAGAAATAATCTTAATTAGCGTCACACATTTTCGTCTCTAAGCTAAGTCATGACCTTGGACCGTATGATTTCATGTATTGTTGATTGAGGAGTATTAATTTGTAACTACTAGGCGCTATGGTCCAACATGGATCAAAATATTTGATTATATTTTTCCTTTCTTTTGTAAGGTGGCAATTAATGTATCTTAGTTGGGAAAATAGGAAGTGCACTGTTGAAGATGATACAAGAAAATAACGTATTTAGCCATCTAAACTGAGACATCAATTAATGTAATACTTTGTTGCTGATATTGTTGTTTACATCATTTAGAATGATGATATAAACAAGAACATCAAAGTACTGTCGATTAGGGATTATACAATGTTTAAAATTGTGTTAAATAATTTGTTAGTCGTTGAAATTATAGCCATGTTCGTTGTTGGGTGCAATAAGGCCGTTCTTAAATATTTTTTATCACTTAAATGACGGTGATTGAATATCATAAAAAGTTTGCCCTATCCTAATTGAATACCAATTACTTCTCATATGATATGGTTCAAACTAGACCCTACGAGTGATATCAGATCCAAGGTCATAAGTTCTAATCACAAGATCGTTATGTTGATGGAAGTATTGTTAGGGTGCAACAATATCTCTCTTAAGCTCATCGGCAAATGATGAAGATTGAATGCCATATTGGACACCGATTGATTTTCAGATATTGAAATTTGATCATACACTGACAAATTGTCCATGACCTAATAAAACTAGTGAACTTTTTATGTTATAGATGCTGAAATCGTTTCTAACCATGAAAATTACTAGTGAGTTGTACGCATCTAATAAAATTTCATTTTTATTTTTATTTTTCATAATTAGTGCTTGTTTAGGTTTATGTATAAGTTCATAAATTAAATGTGATGGAAATAAACGATATATAAGTGGGTGATAGTTGTGAATCCTACAAAATGTATGATCAAAGTTAAAGTTTGACTAAATAACTTTTAAATTAAGAAACTCACTACAACACAAATAGCCTACGGCAACGTTTGGACGTGTGTTACAAATCGAGATGTTGTCGTAGAGTAGAGAGATACCGCAACGTTTTTTGAACGTTGCCGTGTATCTATCTACGGCAACGTTTGGCAGCTACGGCAACTTCTGCCAAACGTTGCCGTAGGGTGGTTTTTTTTTAACAAAAACAATTTATGCAAATAGATTGGTAAAATTGAGAATGCAACTAATGAACAAATTTTACATAAAAATTGATAATTTCATTAC